GAGCTGCTGCGATTTGTTGTAGTTGATCGGAGAAAGCAGCGATGAAGGGGGCAGAGCATCGATGAAGCGGATTGGACGATGAAGCGAGAATACCAGAAGGGGGCGAGAGATTGGGGTTTTAATTGCAGAAGGGCAAAAGAGTAATCTGGAGTCCCATTTATGCAATTTAAAACTTGAAATCCTATTTTGGAGTTTTAACCATGTTTTAGTCCCATTCAGTATAATTTTACTTAATTAATTGGTTGATAGGGTAACTTAAGTTGGACGTGAAAGAGACTCTTCAATTGGCGATTTAAATTGCGCATCATGGGGCAGAAACCAAATACTATCGTATAAAGTAATGTACCTAAGAAGACAAGTAATCTAGGAAAATCTTTTTGGGCGTTTAAGCTGCAAGTACATTATTGGCTCAATTATTCTAAAGAAAATGATAGATTAACGAAGTAATAATCAATCAAGTTGAGGGAGCCGTTGAATGATGCTGCACTTCCCTTGAGTCTTGAAGGTAATATCAGGTTTACTTTAGGCGCGATTATTTTAATTAATTGGGAAAAGGGGCAAATAAGTTTTCGATCTAACAAAAAAAGTTCAAATCACCCCTTAAATAGGAGGTTCTGTCTGACCGTCGCCATTTGGAGCGGTTCCCGGTGGAAATTTTTGATGAATTTTTTTGAGTATCTTCTTCATTAAGTCTAGTTTACCCGTACCAAATTTTAGCGAAAAATAGAACCGGAAAGGCAGTCAAATGATTTTCTGAAATATACTGTGCTGTTTAACTGCGCAGTTATCTTCAAAAATTCATTGACTGCCTTTCCGATTGAAATTTTAGCTGAAGTTTGATGTAGATAAACTAGACTTAATGAAGAACATGTTCAAAATATTTCATCAAAAAATTCCACCAGAAATCTCCCCAAATGGCGACGACCGGATAGAACCTCCTAAATAATGGGTGATTTGCACTTTTTTTGTTAGTTCGAGGGCTTATTTGCCCCTTTTCCCTAATTAATTCAGGAGATTTAGTCCATTCATTGAGTTTGAGTATTATGGAGTATAATTTATCCTAAAGATATGTCGGACTGTTGTAGTATGACTATTAATTGCTCATTTGCTCGTTTAGCACGTCTGCTTTTAGACATTTTTCAATCCCACACCAGACCAGACGAAACTAGATCAAATCAGACCAGATAAGATTTCCGTAGTTATAAAATACACAAAGACCAGACGTTTACCAGACCAGAATAATTTAGACCAGACCAGCAAATTTCAGTCCAACTATGCAACTACGCTCACCATTTGTTGTAGCGCTCGATCAAGTGAGATCTATGAAGCACGGATACTTCCCTAGGGTAGCGTATCGGCGTATCGGATACGTTCCCGTATCCGATACTCTTGGATACTCGTACCGTACGTTCCCGAGCCGTATCTGCAATTTTTAAAAGTTTCCATTTTTTTTGTAATTTCTTGAAAGTTTCCGATACTCGTATCCTGACGGATACTCGTATCAACTTTTTAAAAAAAAATCCCAAAATTTACTTAATAAAATTCTAAAAAAAATGAAAATCTAAAACTACATTTTACTTGGTAATCAAATAATGGGCCTATATGACTATATCCGAATCAAGTCATTAACTCATACTCCGAAGTGGGTACTTGCACTTTTAATTTCAAGATTGTAGTTGTTTGACTTATTTGTCATTTTAAATTAATGACTTATTGACTACATTTATATTTCGAGATACACTAGTGTATATGAGAAATATTATAAATTTATTACTAAGTATCTTGAAAAAGGAAAATGTTTCAATGCAATGAATGGGTAGACATCATATATATATATATGTGTGTGTGTGTGTGTGTGTGTGTGTGTGTGTGTATTCAAAAAAATCTATTATTAATATTTATAAATAGACCCCTATAACTTTTAATATTTGTAAATACACCCCCATTACTTTTAATATTTATAAATATGGCCCCGTATCCGTATCTTACTTTTTTTGGTTTTGACGTATCCCCGTACCCGTTTCCGCGTTTCCGCGTTTCCGCGTACCGGTATCGGTGCTCAGTGGCGGACCCAGAAGTTTTCCGAAGCGGGGGCACTCCCTTATAAATGAAAATGGGTCGGGTCGGGTCGAATTGGGTGATCTTTTTTGTCAAGTGCGTTCAAATTAATATTTTTAACTGGAAATAGATTATTCAATGTTGACGTCAAGCAATGAACATATATGAGTTATAAGTCTAATTGTGAATTCATTAAGACAATTCTAAACAATAATATTTGACTTTTTGAAAGAAAGACATAATTTGGCGGATTAGAAATGACTCATCTTTGCGCCATTTCTGATTTTACATTAGAATTTTCACTATTTTTCATACTATAAAATGATCAAGATTTCATATTTGAACTAGGATCATGTCGTTGTTATACGTTGTGCCACAAAATTTGTTGGTACTTGTCGGAAATATAATTTTATCGTGTTAAAAATGAAGTATAAGTCAAGTTTCGGATTTCATCATTTAATACAACTTTATTTAATAATATGATTCTATATATCTACCTTTTACGAGGAGTATCATATTATAGAAAAAATTTAAAGGGTCCGTCGGTTTGAAACTAATTTATCGCGAATTGATACATTTTTTCATGCATGGACTTTTATTCAAGATAAAAGTCTTTCAATCTATTAAGTTTATCCCGCATATTAAAACCCTTGTCATATCTTTGAACTTTCACTTTGGACCGACATTATTCACCCCAAGTGAAAAATCATCAATGCCACTTTTCAAAGGAAGTGTAGTAACCATATAACAACTATCTAACTATAAGAATTTGCTCCATCACAACTTCAGAGTTGTTTATATTTCTTACTACAATTATTATATGTCTTCGTCGGAGTCCTATACATCTAATAGTTTTTTGAAATAATGACAATATGATTGAAATAAAGATAGTAGACAAAAATATGACTTAGATATTACCATAACAATTTTAGTGACCATGGTTCTGTTCATTAGTTATATTCTGGTAATATTTATGAAAAATACTCTAATTTTTTGTTCGGATAGCAGGGGCACAATTTTTATCTTAAGTACTAATACTAAACTTCATGGTCAGAAGCGGGGGCACTTGCCCCCCTAGGCCCCTCCCTAGGTCCTCCACTGTCGGTGCTACATAGAGTGAGATATGTTTTTGGGTCTATGCCTAGTCTTTTGTTGCAGCGTTGAAAATGGGGGATGCCCCTATGCAGCTACGCTCACCATTTATAGAGCCTGTTAGGTAGAGCCGAAATCAGTTGAATCAGCTGGTTGTGTTTGAAGTTCTGACTAAAGTGACTGTATTGACTGATTTTGCTGATTTATGAATAAATTATGTTTAAAATATATTTTATTAATTAAATAAAGAAAACATTATATGAAAAAATAGTTAAAATGGTCATCTACAAACACTTCAGCCAATATAGCCTTAAAATAACTTCAACCTTACATTTTCTTATTATATATTACACAATTCAGCGCTCGAAATAAAAAATTACGTGTTTTGGTTAAAAAGTTGCCTGAAAAGCTGAAAACTGTGTCACCAAACAGGCTCATAAATTTTTGGTGCTATCGATCTCTCGTCCCACATAAAGTTCCTAGTTTGATTTTGCAACTTTTAAGAAAATGTAATTTTTTGCTTTCGACTCTTCCATTATAGCCTTACAAAGGTAGATTGACTTTAGTGTGATAGAGAAAGCAGATGTAAAATAGGTTAATAAAGTAAGTGTATAAAAGTAACTTCGTATTAAAAACTTGTCAAAAATATAAGTGAGAATTTATTTTAGATTTGCCCAAAATGAAAAGTGAGAATTTTTTTAGAATGGAAGGGACTATTATTCACTAAATATGAGGGAACATTTCTATGTTTTTATTTTAAATTTATAATTATTTTACATTTTTATTTTTATTTTTGTACTACCTCCGTCCCGGTGGACTTTGCCAAGTGCAAAGTAGGTGAGAAATAAAAATAGTAAAAACTGTGTGGTTGAGATTTGTGCAGAGGAGAGAGAAATGTGCAGGAGCAAATCTGTTGCTTTAATACGAAAGTGGCAAAGTTTTTTGGGACAACCAAAAAGGCAAAGTTGGCAAAGTCTAATGAGACGGAGAGAGTATTTATTATAAATAAAATTATGTTTTTGTTGTTAATAAAGTAAGTTGTATTAGAGATTATAGGAAGAGAGTAGCACAGAAAGGTGAAGCATGAATTACTCCTACTTTGGGAGTAAAAAGGTCATACTGCCATTTTTGTATTTTGGAATCATTTTATTCCTATTTGGGGCTAATATTTGATGTTTGAAGCATTTAAATAAGTCATTAAACACCATAAATTTATATTTGTAAAAGAAAAAACATATGAACATAGTAGTAAGATAACCTTTCATATACAACTTGAGATATTTATAATACATATGCAAGTTTGACGTGTTAACCGTATTTACATCACATCCCTACGAATTTTAGGATATTTCAATTATTTTTCCCGGTTGGAAATGTGAAGGTGTTGGTCAATAAAATTAGAGTCACACGGCCACTATATTGAGAACCTAGATATGTTTGATGCGTCACTTGCAAGCAGCTATTGTTAGTCACCCTACAGTGTATTAACGAACCACATGGAGATCTAGTAGAATTGCTCTATTGGTTCGTAATTTAGCAACAACTAAAATCTATCATTAGTCAAGGAAATCAGAACCACACTTATGTTGTTATCAAAAAGAGAGTAAAGAGGGCCAAAAGTAGAAATTAAAGACTACCAAATAGTGTTACTCGGATTCATATTTGAGACCATGACTCAATGAGTTTGTGACTCATGTGATGACCAACTGCATTGTGATGCCTTGCGTGTGGGTGGATGTATGTGTGTAGTTAAAACGAGCTAGCTAATCATGCAGAGTGAATGGAATTCCCACACTCTCAACATTGTACACCAAACTTGACACATTGAATAATCATGATAGCTATATAAATTAAATTAAAGTAAATTAAAGAAGGCACATGAGGGACTACTAAATAAGAGTATGTATATGGATATGATCAAAATATTTGTAACAAGCTAGCTAGCTAGAGAAACAAATAGATAAAGTGTCAACATTGAGATGGTGAGTTTGAAAAACACATTGTCAATGAGGGTGTTGATTGTGGTGTTAATAGTAGTATCAACAAGTTGGTGGTGGAGACACACGATGGGGGATGAACAGCCGCAACAAGAAGAATGTGCAACCGTGAAGGCACTCATCTCAGCTTGCTCAAGTTTTGTTATGTACGGATTGCCAGACCCCATCCCAGGATCCCCTTGTTGTGTTGCCATGCTCAGCCTAAGCAACCTGGCTGACTCCACGGACAACCGCCAGAACGTTTGCCGATGTATGATGGATCTCATCACCACCTACAACCCCAATGCCACTTCCATTGCTACTTTGCCAGGCTTTTGTGGCGTCTCTCTTGGATTCATCATTGATCCTAACACCGACTGTGAATAGTATGTTATCATTTCCTTTATTCTCTTAGTTTTATTAAAAAGTGTTAATATTTGTAGTTCTATTTTATAAAGTTAGGAGTTGTGTCATTGCATATTTAGTCAAATGGAAGAAAACCTTATATGTTAGTTTGTTATGTCATATTTAGTCCTTGTAGGGCAAACATGTCTATCAAAGACATCTTATATCGACTAAATATGAATTACTTAATCCCTAAATTTAATTAATGAGTTTTTCTGGTTGAGTTAGATCCAACCATATTCTTTACAATTTTATTTCTTTTCTTCATAAAATATAATATTATTCATTTAGTAATAATAAATTCTCTTTCAAATTGGTGCAGTATTGGATGAATGTACCGACCAGTAAACTTTTTGAGATCGTTAAAGCCAAAGGTTGCAACTTTCAAGATGCGGCTAGCGCTTGCCTGGATCCAAAATAAGTTAATCTATTAATTCTGATCATGCATAAACCGAACGACAACACAAGTGTACCGGTACAAACCAAATAGATGATGATCTTACATATGTATTGTATTCTTAACTTATTGAATGTATGCATATGCAATTGAATGCTTGTTTCTTAAGAGAGCCAATTCAAAGAGCTTGATTACACACACACATTATTTTGTGGCACACATAATACAATCATAGGGTGGAGTGACATACATTATTCCAACATTTACAAGAAAAACATTTAGTCACACTATATAAAACAATCATTCCCTATGACGGAAAAAATAAGTCACTAACCAAACAACATTCCAAGCATTATTTTCGCTATGAGTTTATGTAGGTCCACATAATTGTGCTTTCAAACTTTGTGTAACCTTTTCCTTGAAGTTCCCCTACAAGCTCCAGTTCTTCTCTGAAACATTGTCCATTTCACATAGACCATTGACCAGCTTATGTTGCCTTCGTTGTCTCGGTGCACTGAGAGATTGATGCGTGTTTTCTCGCACTAAAAATGGTTGTAGAAAAGTGGTTGAAAGTACGAGTATCGTCTCCACAGGGACGGACAAAAGGGAATTAAAGATTAACTAAATTCAGCGATTAAAAAGAAATAAATAAATAAAATAAAATGCAATTGTGTGAGATTGGTTGGTTGAGTAAAATAAAACTAATGCTAATGAGCGATTAAAATAAATGTGGTTTTCTTATTAATTAACGACGAAGGGAACATGGATTGATTCCGGGGTAACCAGATTTCTGGCAGATCAGGCCTAATTACATGAATTTAATTTAATTGAGCCTAGCTAATCATTACTAAATTCTTACCGCTCTCGCGGCGTAGAGTACAATAATTTAGGGGACCAGGCTGATCTCTCATGCGACAGGATCCTAAATTATTGCCAAGACGAGCGAGCTTACGACCCCTTAATCGCTACTAATCTCTTAACGACTGATTAAGTGTGTGTGAATGTGTCCTAGAACAAATTAGATCTTTCTTAATTCATTCTACATGCAATTGTAATTCTAGCTGCAGTCTAGGTTACAAGAGATATCAATCAAATTATTCAAACACAAATTAAACGGACATTCATGCAATTAAACCGAAAGGAATCTAGCCATCAATCATGATCAACCCCTTCATCAACCACAAATCCCTAATTAAACTACTCACAACTCATAATTGAAGAATCAACAGAATTGAGATGAATAGAATAAATTGTCATTAATTAAAAAGATGAACTTACAAATAATCTCAGGGTCTTGGAAGAAAATAGCGTAAAAACGGTGTTAAATTCGTCCCTAGGCCTCTCCGTAATGTTTGTAACCCGTAAAAAGGGGTATGTAGGCCTTATTTATAGAAAACAATAGAGTTTGAGCTGAAATAGGACAAATCGGGGCCAGACACGATGCCAGGCACGATCGTGCCTGGGATCGTGCCTACGGAAGAAACACGCGTCTCGGGTGAAGGCACGATTGTGCCTGGCCAGGACACGATCGTTCCTGGCTGGCAGAATGTTTGCGTGCCTTCCTCTTCCAGGCACGGTCGTGCCTGGTCTTTTCTTCATCATTTTTTTCGTTTCTTGTTCCAAACACTCCCGAATGCCCACGAGGTCGATCCAAATGCTCTTTCTTCATCAGAATTTCGTCGTGAATCTCCCGGTGACCTCCAAATCTCTCAAATCTTTCTTGACTGCCTTCACATCCTTCCCGAATGCCTCTCAAGCGCCGATTGCCGGACTTTAACTTCTTCGATTTGACTCTAAATGCAATGAAACTCGATCCAAAGCCTGCTAAACACAACTTGAGCCAAAATTGAGACTTGCAACGCCTTAAAGCTAGGAAAACCATCAAAATCCGACCCGAACACGCATCAAATGCGTGTTCAAATACGGACTTATCAAACTCCCCCACACTTAAGCTTTTGCTTGTCCTCAAGAAAATCGAACAACGGGACTTACGATAATCACCACACGGAATTTAAAACAGTTAGCATGCACACGTAGTTAAAGGGATATTTACAGGACAATCAATTTAAACCAAGAAATTTTTTCCCTAAACTACATCTTTGAACTCAAGCTAAACTATTTGACACAATTATTCACAACATCTTCAAAGTAATGACAGCCTACACAATTAAATTGGCTACTAATCAGAAGGACTTGTGAAGGTGATGGTGAATGGACAATAATAGTAGTCCCTTTCTTTTGAGAGATTGGAATATTCTAACAAAGACTCAATGTATTCAGGAACTTCAGGGTTATTCTTAGGAACAAGGAACTCAGTAGGCCACAACTTAGGAACAATCATTTAAACCTATGCAAAGAGTAGACATGGTGTACAACTAAGCTAAACCGTCGCGGCACATTTGTGCTTAGACGCATACTTGAAGTACGCAGAGGACTAAAGCTAATTTTTTGCAATAGCCCCCAAGTTCAATTAATTAGGTTCAGTTTTCCTTGTCATGTAGGCACGAGAACGCCATTTCTTTCGAAAGATACCCAAGTCTCATCTTATGCTTTTTGACCGGGGCTCCCATTCTCTTTTTCGAAAAGTAAGAGGTCTAGCTATATTAATTTTTCACCTTTCGGATTCTCACTAGACATTACCCCATTCTAATCTCGGCCTGACCAAGGAAAAATAACAATTTAAGTTCATTAATTTCAAAGTGAATCCATGCCTACAATGCAATCCTCGAAAGTATCATATTCCTAAAAAGTGACTGCTCTTACCCCATTTGGGGCATAGGAACAGTGCCAAAAATGGCTCCTACACAAAATTCCCTAAACTTAGCAAATTAATCCCCTAATTCCCTAAACATCAAGACTAAGTCAGGAATATTCACAGGTAAGGAAAACAGGTCATTTGGCTATGAAGCTCAATTAATTGGGTAAACAAAGAACGGTCAGGCTCAAAGTGGCTTCTCCTAAAGGGTCTTATTCAGGTGGGGTGGATGATTAATGGAAAATTCAATGGGTGACTAATGCCTTCATCCTTTCAACAACTAGATTATCATGCAAGCAATTTAAGCCTAAACACTTCAAAGATGTTCTAAAAGCATAGTCAAAACGCTAGCCAGCTCACAAAGACACAGTTTAAAGAAAAATTTTCAAAACATTGGCATGAATTTCCTATGAATATACAACTAACACCTGCGCATGCTAACTCTAACAAATCACATGTAACGACTACTGCCCGAATGCTCGATTCACTCCCCCACACTTAAACTTTGGCATCGCCCTCGATGACCAAATATGCATTATGCACTAGGGGTAAAGAGGAAAGGGTCACGCGCGCTCAAAATCAACTCAAGTTAACATTACGCAGCGAGTAAACAAAGTCATGGAAACTTCCCTATAGCGTTGGTCGGTCAGGAACTAAACTGGGTCTTTGATCGCGCGGCACATCATCCACTAAGCTGCAACACATCATGAAACACAAAGCATAGCAATAATAAAGAGAGTTAAGTGCAACAGTGAGAGTGTGAGAATGTTGAGGTGTACAGTCATCCAACATAATCATAATACAGAGGCTAGAGGCGGACAATCTAATCAAATCTAATACTCAGGAGGGGGCAGCGGTGAATATGCATCAAAGAATGAGCTCCAGCTAGACTCCAGAGAGGTGAGTCGCTCATCAATCTGGGTGTACTGAGACTGGAGCTGTGTGTAATGGAGCGCCTGGTCCTCCCTCATCTCTCGGTAGAAGTCCTGCTGCTCAAAGCGCATTTGATCGAACCTCTCATGCTGCTCAGTAGACAGCTGCCGATACACGGCATCCTGATGCGCATGCATCCCCGCCCAAGAATCGGGAAAAGTGGTGCCGTAGGGGGGTGCATCATAGGGAACCTCGGGTGCAACTGTCTCCATCTTCACATCGTCGTCGTCATCATCATGGTCATCATCATCATCATCATTATCATCATCATCTCGATGTCCTCCTCCTCCTGCTCCTGCCGGCTGCGTCTGAGCCCTCCTCCGTGCCACTCTAGTGTTGACATCGGGCAGCCGAGTCAACGCAAGAAAACTGGAGCTCTCCTCCATCCTCTGAAAACGGTCACCGAAGCCCATCCTGATCAGGAGTCGCGTGATGAATGGGCCAGCAAAAATAGACTTGATGTGGTTCGTGGATTGACGGTGGAGGAGTCTGGCAATAAGATAGCCCATGTGGGGCTTACGGTTATGGACCATACACCAGAGGCAGAATAGGTTCGAAGAAGTGACCTTACCGACAACCTCGGTTTTGCCGGTGATAGTGGAAGAGAGGATGGAATGAATGATCCGGTACTGGCGTGGGTATAGGAGCATGCTCGGGGACATCTTGGGCTTGTACTCCCCGCCCCCGATAGTAATGGACTCCCAAAAGGCTTGGCGATTGACGTTGGGGGGGGAAGTCTGTGAAGAGGGCCTTGTAACACCCCGACCCCACCGGACCCGAGGTAGTTACTCCGGACCAATAGTACTGTCCCCACAAACCACCACGAGCCTTTACCACGCACTTTGTCCTCACTCATGCGCGCCCTGGGAAACTTCCCAGGGGGTCACCCATCCCAAGACTACTCCCGTGCGAGCACGCTTAACTTTGGAGTTCTTGGGTAATGATCTCCCTTAAAAGGAGATGCACCTCTGTTGGTATGAGTAGTACTATTAATCCATTTATATTAAATCTCAAGTGTTACAGGCCTCGTGCTGACCATTGTCCTTGATGCGAGTAAAGCCCAGGTGATAGTGCATTTCCGCCATAGAAATGGTGTGGTCCTCCTCAAACGCCCGGAACTTGATCACGGGCCTGTGGTTATCTGTAATAGCAATCTCCTTGGCCATCTTGAAGTTGGCTAGCACCTCGCAAGTCACTTCCTTGTATGTAGGCTCGTGGATGCCAAAGAAAAGATGTTGCCACCATCCCCTTCGCAGCAGTGTCATTACCTCATCATGTAGCTCAGCGGCTGTCAATGTGGGCTCGTCAGGATAACAAAAGGTGCCCACCTCCTTCTTCAGTAAATCAAGGTATGTGATCAGTTGCTCGTCCTTCGGGAACTGAGGCTGAAACCGGGCACCCGTTGCCCTACTAGAGCTGGTTCCAACATTCTTGGTTCGCTTCTTTGGTGGCATCTGTGAAAAACAATTCAACAACAACAATAACAAACCAACGGGGCTTCCAAGTCTTAGAAT